ACCTCTTGCATTTGCATCAAGCTCGGTCTTCTGTGTCTGTGGGTCCGCGCCTTCCCGAGGCTGGAGTTGGGATTCCCTTTTTGGGATCCTACACTCTCTGTAGCACTGAATGTCTACAGCCATTTAGGTGGGGCCTGCTCACAAGCCCTCAGGGGCTTTCAAACCACAGACTAGGCAACATGGCCCTCCACACCTCCCCAAGTCAGACCAGTCCACTCAGAATGGCTCCCTCCCCGTCCAGCACCCACCCTGCACTGTGGACCTCCCCAGTGCAGAGTTTGGTCCAGGCCCAGCGAGGACACTGGGACTCACCAAAGGCCTTCTCACAGGCACCCAAAGGTAAGAAACCAGACCAGCCAAAGAGGGGGGGTGGGAAGGTAGAAAGAGAGAAGCCAGAGGAGGGCTTTTACACCCGCTGTGTCTGCCTCTGAGATCTGAGCCATCCCTGGTTTTAAAAATTTATAAGAAAGAAGATTTCACAACTTCTTCTAGCAACTACCGCCTCTTAGAGTGAGAACCTCATCCCCTCAGTGGAGCTGGAACATTTGGAAGATAAAAAGAAGATATGGCAGTCCTAGTGGACCACAGCCTAACAGAAAAACTCAGCAGTGATTATTGCTCCAAAAAGACAGTGGCCATATGACAGGAGTTGAGGGGTGGTCTTTTCTCAGTGCCCTGTGGCCTGGGTAGGCTCTTGTTACCACAAAGGATATGGCCCAACAAAAGGATGTTGTAAACCGCAGAAGGCACAGAGATAAGAAACAAAGATGATTAAGAGGCCTACAAGGAAAGTAGTTTTGTTCCGCCTCAGGAGGAGAAAAGGCCAAAAGGCCATTTTGCAGTGTGTTTATGCAAAGATCTTATGAGGGGGTCTCGGATCACTAGTTCTCCGTGTTAGAGGAAGGATAAACATGGAGAAATAAGTTTCAGGTCAGGCGTAAGCACCTGTTGGACAAAGGAACAGCTTTGCAATGCTACTTAGGGAATGCATAACAGAAAGAGGGCCTCCCCTAGCAAACTGCCTGTTCATTTCTCCGTGCCCTGCCTTATTCAGCTATGGCTTCCACTGCTGAAATACTGATGATGCGCACTTGTCACTTCTTTCTCCCAAGCTGCTCCATGGTCTGAAGAATTATCTGATCTAACGGTGTATATTAATCTAACCCAGAAGGCACCCTGCTGCTTGCCCCACCACTGGTCTCGGTTCCTCTGCTTCCCAGTTTTCACTGTTTTGGCTGAATCTCGGGTACGTGTTAGGGGTGGCAGCCTCCCGGAGCGGAACCTTTTAGAAGAGAAAGCAAGGGCACTGTGTGGCTTCTGAAATGTATCCCCAGACTGCTTAGGAAGCACTTGCTGGTACAGAGGACATCCTCCGTAAATGCTGCAGAAATGAATCATTACTGGAAAGTGTGACAGATGGCACTCCGGATCACGTGGAGTCTCCCATCGGGTCTCCCGATGGTCACTGTTCTTATTCTAGGACCACTTCACAGCCCTGCCACTCCGTCCCAAGTGACTCCTCCAGAATTCACCCTTTGTTTGATAACTTGATTCACAGGGCTTGTTTTCAAATCGTAATGAATGGTTTTGAAGTCTTCAACTGGGTGAGCTTTTTGTTGGCTAGAAAACAGTGAAACTTTCTTAAATTTGGAAATCCAAATGTTTGGAAGGCTGGGGTCTAAAGAGATCGCTGTAGACAGGAAGTGATTTAGAGAAAGCAAAGTGTCTCACGGCATTATGTCATGTGACACTTCTCAGAGTTAGTTTTCCAAAGTTAAAAATAATAAGTATGGGCCAGAAAAATTTAATGCAATACTATAGTTCTTCTGTGGTGTCAAAAAAAAGCTCTGATTTTGACAGTGACGTTTAAACTTCTCATACATATTTCTTAAAATTAAGCTTAAGAAAATATTCTGTTTTTTTATGTGATTGAAACCACAGGAGGAAAATCACTGTGAGTCAAAGTTGGAGACCACGTGATCATACAGTTTGTAATTATGTTAAAAAAAGATAAAACGCAACACCTGAATACGGCCTTGCTTTAAACTACAGACCTAAACCCACACTTACTACCCTCCAAGTTTGGTGACCTCAGCTCCACCCTGGATGAAGTCATGCCCTGAGTCCATAGGGTCTCATTTTTCCAAGGGTGGTCCACACTGATGACCGAGCAGGCCCTTACCACAGGAGTGGCCACAGCGGCTCGCTTGCTCTGACGGCTTTTTATTTTCTGCATTCCAATTTGACAACTGAGCCACTGGGCTATGGAAAAACAACAATTGTTTTTACAATAAAAAAAATTTGCTTCCAGCCCAATAGGACCTCTGAGCAACAACAGAGACAGAGGGGTGGCTGCAGCCATGTTCTCACTCTGAGTCCCCACATCCTCCCCCTCGGGGACAAATCTCTGAAGGGATGTGGGTCCAGAGGCCTTGGAGTCAACCAGAGATGTGCCCCTTCTCAGGGCATGAGGATTTGCCAGAGGCGGACTCTTGTCCTGGGATGACTCAGAAGGAGAGCCGAAGCCGACAGCCGGAGTCAGGCCAGAGGCTCTGCTTCATCACCCCGGAGGCCACATTTGTGGAGCATCTGCGTCCCCAGCTGGGCTAAACAGAACAAACCCTGATCCATCCCACAGTTCCTGCTCAAATCCCCCAGATTTCCAAACCCTTGGGTGGTGCCTGAGATGGGGCAGATGTGGGTACTTTTCTCCAGGAAGTCCTGTACACTGAAGCTATTTTCATTATCCCCCCAACTTCCTTGCCAGGGAAATACTTTACGTGAACGTGAGAGTGGGGCTTCCCACAGGCTCTGGGCTTGGGGACTCCCCTGGATCTCCCAGGCAACCCCTCAGGCTGATAGAGCAGTCTCCGTGGAGGAGCTGGGACCTGGGGAGACTTACTAATGGTCCATCCCGGCTGCCAGCAGGCCAGAGGGCGTGCTTTGCTTCCTGACGCATCACAGGATCTCGAGCAGCAGAAGCCCCTTTTGCAGGCTGCCTTCCCCACCACGTGTCTGCACTCACCATGGCAAAGCCCGAGAGGAGGGCGGAGGTCCGGCTGGAGGCCTTCAGCTTGGCCCTGCTCAGATAAAGCTTCCTCCAGGAGAGGGCCTGCACAGAGTGGTGGTTGGAGGTGACCAGCTCCAGGTAGCTGCGGCGGACCCAGTCGCGGTAATCCATGCCCTTGTGGCCAGGCTCAGAGCAGGCAGGGGTGGAGGGGTCCACAGGCACGCTGAGCTCAGCGCTCATGGTGGGAGCCAGGCTGGGGGTTGGAGAGACACACTCAGGCCTCCTGGAGGGTTCCCGGGGCCTGGAAAAGCCAGAACCCTTAAATCTTCCCTGGGGTCCACTGTATCCCTCCCATGGCAGGGCCATGGGATCCAGGGGTAGCGGGAGTGTGGTGCCCTGGTCTCTAAGGCAGTCCCCACACTGGAATGCAGGAACCGTCTGAAGGAGAGGAGGGTCAGGAGTGCATTTCCAGAAACCCCTGCAGCGTCCAGTGCAGTTCCTCTGAAAAGCTGGAATCCGGCCTCCCATCCCAAAGCTCAGAGAGGCTCCAATCAAGTGTGGCTCGTGGGTGAACGGAATTCCAAGGTTGGCCAAAAGCATCTAAAGAATCCTCTGATTTGCACCTGACTTCAGGGAACAGGGAGCTGTAGCGTTTAGAAAGATCCTAGGACCTAAAGTTACCAAACCTGCGTTTGACCCTACCGTGTGATCCTGAGCATGACCCCTGACTTTGCTGACTGCGCTCACTTCCAAATGGGGACATCCCCAACCTACAGAGCTACTGAACAAAATAATGGACCTGAAGACTCAAAACTGCTTTTCAATGTCCAGGTGCCAACCACAAAATAAACATTTCTAAGCAGCCGCTAGTTTCTCAAATGCAACTTAACTTGTAATCAACATGGTTCACTCCAAAAAATACTGGGTTTCTAGAACTAAAGTAAAGCCACATCCAGGCTGCAATGGAAACCTTCAGCAAAATGAGAAACTAAATCCACCAAGTGACATGAACACGTTTTACGGAGAAATGGAGACTGCAGACCCCAGGAATCACCCCAGCTAGACGGCTGGTTTGACAGTAACATGGAATCAAGATCAGAAGGACTGATCTGTTAAGACTTGTGAATTTAAACCCAAATCTCCACTAATCCAAATAGAGGACTGGCGGTTTCATGCGGTCTCAGGGGCCGGCCTGTGCGGCAGCACTCCAGGATCAGCTCTAATTAATCTGCAGGGCAGGACTCAAGGACACAGGCACCTCACGGCTCACTTGGCATCAGATGTCAACCTGTATGCTCAGGCCCGCAGAGGCCCCAGGAAAAGCCTACTGAAGGCTATTACAAACAGTCAGCATTTCTAGGTCCTCAGGCGCATGGCTGGAGGTAGGTGGGTGGGGTAAGGGGTATTTACCAGGGTCAGCTGCTGAGGAAATGCCCCAAACTGATCCATTCAAGTCAATCTCTAAAAAGGCTCTATGGGAAGGTCCTAGAAGGGAAGAGCTCTCTCTTTTGGGGCACCTTCCTCTCTGTTCTCTGCCAGGCTTCGGAGGCACAGCTTTTACTGGCCAACAAGATCGCCAGGGAACAGTCTGGGCTCTTCTGTCTCCGCCAGGGGATGCCAATTACTAGGTCATTTATAGGAACGTTGGTAGCCTGAGTCACTGACCCCTTGCCCACATCTGCAGCCAGCAGCCTAGCTTTTAAGCACTTCAACCACTGGAACATCCCTTCCCTTGGGGAGAATTCAGAGAAATGTTGCTCACTAACCAATGTGTTAGCTCGAAATAATTTAGAATAGCATTTGGAAATGTGCTTTTTCTCTTTTTTTTCCCCATATGTAGCATAAGTGAGCCTACAGGTATGATGAAGACGTGTGGAAGGGTGAAAGGCACCACCTTTGCCCCTTAGTACCAGTCTCTCCATCCTGCATCCAATAGACGCTTACTGGGCCCTGAAGTAAAACTGCATTTGGTACTTAGGCATCAAAGATGAAAGAGGTGAGAATCCTGTGAGTTCCTTCAAGGAACTCACTGCCCAGTGGGGGGACGAGATAAGGAGGTGATTCCCATCCAGTGAACTAAATTCTGCTTTAGTGGAGGAGTGTGACGGGCCGAGGGAGCAGGGGGCTGGCTGGCTGCCTCAGCCCTGGGCAGGGAGAAGGTGCCTGCTAGGGAGCAAGGACAGGGGACAAGGACGTAGGTAGTGAAGGCAGCATTGGCGCAGAGGGGCTCTCCCTCAAAGACAAGATGCTGTGCGCACGGGAGGGTTCTGAGAGGCAGGGGGACCTGGCAGGCAGGCTGGCTGCCCAGGGGTTCAGGGTAATGTGGGTGGAAGACAGGATGCAGGGAGTCTGTGGAGCCCAGGGCAGCATGCGGCATAAAAGGGGTCGGTGAAGGGAGCAATCTGGGGTCAGTCTGGTCTGTGTGCCCACTGTGATGGTTGGCTGACTGGGAGGGACGGGAGGGCCTGGTGGCCTCCAAAGGGATGAAAGCATGCATGGAGTGAAGAAGAGGGAAGCCCAGGGGCTGTCAGTGAGTGTGCGCCGGGCTCCAGGTCGAGAGTGGAGAGCAGAGCTGCAGGGGCAGTCTCAGGAGGCCTGCGGACGTCCTCAGAGTGACAGGAGGTGGGGAGGAAGGGCTAACTGTCTGCTTGGAGCCTGGGCATTGAGGCAGGCCTGTGGGTCCAGAAGAAAGAGCCACTTCCTGCAGAGGGAGCAGCCTGGATGGGATTCAGACCCATCCTAACCCGCCCAGCGCCAGGGTCCTACCTGGTCCCGGGCCACCTACCCCTGCACCGGGAGGGGCAGAGTCTGGTCCTCACACCCCACGGCGGCTCGGCAGGGGGTGGGGGGGGGTGGGGGGGAGCAAGATGGAGCCCGACATTTCTGTCGGGTGGCAGAAGCTCCAAAGGATGCTCTCCCGGCTGAACCTTGTGGGGTTTTGTTTGTTTGTTTGTTTTTATATGGGGAGCAGTCAGAGAACAGAGGTCTTTATAGGGTAACGGTAACCCTCTCTCTACAGATCAGCAATTCTCCTTGGCCGGCCTGGTTGAAACATTTCCAGGGGGTAGGTTTGGAGGTTTGCCTGTCTCAACTTCCTTTAAACATCTGGAACACGAGCAATGGCGAGTGCCACGCAGAAACGTCTGTTTCTGACTCTCTCTCTTTGTCGCGCCGGCGCGGGGCGTGGGCCCAGCAGCCGCCACAGGGGTCTCCCAGAGGCGTCCACTGCATCTCTGTCCCTTCCCCTAGGAAGCCCCAGCGGCCGCAGTACCCGCATTCGACCCGCGCACCGACCTCCGAGTCCTCTGGGCGCCGCACCCTGCCCGGAGATCCCGCGGGGCGGGGGTTAGCTGGCCGCCCCCCAACCCCGCCGTAGTCCCATCCCAAGCCTGCCCGGGAGAAAGCCCGTCCCCTCCCCCGTCGAGCCTCCCGGTGCAATCCCGTCCCCGCGGCGGGGCGCGGACCCCGCTTCCCGCGCCAGACCTCCCGCGGCGAACACTCACCGAGCTGCCCTGCCTGCCCCGCCCGGCTCCGGCTCCGGCTCGGGCTCCGGCTCGCGGCAGGCGGCACTGGCGTGGCCGTGTGGCCCGGTGGCCCCGTGGCCCGGCCGGAGCGCCGAGCACCGCCCCCTCCCTCTTTCCGCCCGGCCCGCGGGGTCCCCCGCCGGCCCGCAGCAGCCGCTGCCAAGGCAACAGCGCGCCGCCGTCACGTGACCGGCCCGCGGGGGCGCTGCGGGCCACGTGACCCAGCGGGCCGGGAGGGGAGGGGTTCGCGACCCCTCCCAGGGGATCCCGGGGGCCCCTGCCGCCTGGACCCAGCTCACGCCCGGCCACTCCGGGGCTGGCAGCCGGGACGCGCACACCCGCGAAGGGTGCTCATCTCTCCTGCCCCCAGTGCGCCGCGGCCACAGAGACTGGCGAAGCGGCGGCGGCGGCGAGGCCAGCCGGAAGCCTGGGCATCCTCGCTTTCCCGCCCCGCCGGCCGCGCGGGCGCCCTGGGCCTCGGCGACAGAACGATGGGGCCGCGCTTTCTCTGACCCCCGGGTCTGGCTAGCAAGTCCAGGGCCAGGTGGTCCCTGCGCGGCCCGAGCTGTGTCGGCCTGAGCGCAGAATGGGGGCACGAGGTTCTCAGGGCGAGCCCTGGAGGATGCCTAGGACCAGCCATTGGCCACGTGGAGGGGTGGGGAGAGGCCACAAGGACTCACCCTGTAGGGACAGGGAACCGGTATCCCGTTATCAGACTACGGGGCGGGCAGGTGTGGGGTGGGGGGCGTGGGGAACAGGGGTGGAAGGGGAGGTTCCGTTTGGGAAGCACCCAGGCTGCCATACCCGAGTTTCCCTGGATGGCCCGTGGCGCTCCGCAGAGCGCGCACCGGAGCTGGTCAGGTGGGCGCCCAGACTGCACCTCCGATCCACAGGGGGTCCTAACCGGGTTATGGCACTCTGGGCACCGGGTAGATGCGCGCCCAGAGCTGTCCTCATAGTGTTCTGGGTCGGCAGAGCCCCCGGGGGTGAAAGCGTTTCTGCGGTGCCCCTGCTCTTTCCATTCACTACTGCAGGGAACCGCACCGCCGGAATAGTGAACTCTCCGGTTTTGCCACCAAGATATTCACACAGGAACGTTCTTTTCAGGAAGTGCACATGAATAATTCACTAAGAGGTGATAGGGGTTCATATCAACCTGCCGTGCCAGATGGGCCCTCAGAGTCCTTCCTGCGTGCCCTACATAGCATTTTTCCATCTGTCACAACAGCAGTGGACCGTGACACATTTATCCAAATGAAAGAAAAATTCCACTCGTGTCAGCCAGTCTAAGTTTTCTGACAATTGGAAGAGTAGATGTTACAGATGCCAGGCCAAATCCATTTATACTTCAAGATTCATTTTAGAGGCCATTGCTGAGAGGTGGAATGATACCTTTTCATCCAGGAGGACACTTAAAAACAGACTAAGGCAGTCATTGTGTCATCCCCCCGCCCACCCCCCCAGTCACTGCCCTAACAAAGGGCACAGGAGAACTCCAGGGTCTGATTACTGCCCTCTCCCCCATGGATGGCTATACGAAAAGGATCATTTGACTTTCAGGGGGCAAAGTCCTCAAAAAGCAATCATTCTGTGGCTTCCAAACCTCAAGCTCTTGATAAAATGACCTGGAAAACAGGAAGACAACACTTGGTAAACTACAGTAGTTGCATCATAGATGAACATTTTTTCAGCAATGGAGTCATTTGCTTGAGGTTCCCACCCTTGCTTCCCCTGCCGGTTAGCCATGCCTCCATGCCCAAGCACATTCATCCAGCATGCCTGGACAGAAGCAAACGTAAGTCATAATTACCAGTGCTCTGCGGAGCGAGTTTCCTAACCACACACAGAAAGTGGCGTTTTCCACCCAGAAGAGTAAGGAAGGGGACGGCAGCATGTTGAAAGGAGAGAGACTTAAGGATCACAATGCTGATAGTCAGCGAGGCCCTCTGGCACACAGGGTCAGTGGCAGTTACACAGAAGGAGGTTCAGGGAAAGGGCCACAGTGCCAGCCACCCAGATGAGATGTCCGGGCTACAGTCTGAGCTACTTCCCTAGTTGGTTGTCCTTGGCAAGTCGCTTCCTCTCCCAAGGACTTAGCTACCCCACATTTGAAAAAGATCAATTCTTTGAGGCACATTCCAGGGTCAAACACCTTCTAGTCTTCCTCATCAACGCACCCCCTCATTCAGTGAAGATTGTAGGCCCTTCTTTCCTCTCTACCCAGGTCTTATCATCCGAGATGGCCTCACAGCTGGGGTGGACAATGTATCCAGTCCCCTGACACGTCCGTCTGTCCCCTTGGCCATTCACTCCTATGGCCTAGCCCTTGTCATCACCCTCTGTGAAATCTTAAATTCGAATGTCCCACGTGCTGACCCCTTCTTTCTCACTCAGTTCTCAACCCACCACCTCCCTTCCTTGACTCTGCCGAGACCCCCCTTTTCTCCCTCTCTGCCTCCTTCCCTCTTCAGCCAGACCCCTTCCAACCTCTCCTGCCACCACCTTTCCCACTTCACACGGAACTCCTCAGGAGAGCCGTCATCACTTCCTTCAGTCCCTGCTCAGCCCTCTGCAGCCCACTGACGCTGTGTTGCTAAATCCAGAAGATATTTCAGCTGCTGCCTTGTCTGTCATTGGGTACCCCTCCTTCCAGCTGGAAACACTCCTTTCTTGCTCCGGTGACCCCACCTGACTGTTTTTCCCCTTGTGCAGGCTCCTTCTTTGCTGTCTTCCTCTAGATGTGGGTGTTTCTCAGGGTTCTGTCTGGGTCCCCCTCTATACTTCTCCCTGACTGGTCTCACCCACTCGCCTTGTTTCGAGGAGTCTCATGACTCCCAAATCACACCTCCAGCCCTGATCTCTTCCCAGGCTGGCAGGGCGTGTCCCAAGGGCCCCCAACCTCACCATGCCCACAGCTGAATTCCTCACCTTTCCCTCACATACCTGTTCCATCTCCTGGGTCACCTGCCTCAGGTCACTTCCCTCACATACTTGTTCCACCATCCACCCAGCTGATGACGCTATAGATGTAGTGTCATTCCTGACTCCTCCGCTCCCCATCAGGTCCTGTGAACTCTCCTGCCTAAACGTCTCTGGAATCTCTGCCATTTCTGCCTGTCCCCACTGGTCTCTATACTAATTCAGGCCATCATCGCTTCTGCTCTGCATTACTGCAAGAGCCACCTGTCCCCTTCCAGTCTATTCTCCACACTGCAAAGTGAAAAATCCCCCTAGTGTCTCCCCATTTCCCCTCCAGCCCTTCAGGCTTTCCCTGCAGGCTTAGATCAACTCCAGTCCCCTTCACCGGTGCTTGGGAGGCCCTGGCAGGGCATCTGCCCCGTCCTTGGCTGGCTGTCTTAGGGCCGCTGTATGACTGCGCTGCCCGGGGCTTGTCCCACAGGCCTGGGTCACGTGTGCACACGGCAGTGTGTGCTACACCCACCCAACGACAGTGGCCTTTTCCTGTGTGTGTCCCTGATCAGATCTGGAGCTCCCTGAAGGCACGGACTGCATCTTGCTCACTGTCACCCCCATGGCCTAGCAAAGTGCACTCAGGAATCCTTTGCCTTTAGCACTTCTTCGTGCTCAATAAAGATTTGCTACATTCTATGGAATAATAAGACCGAAATTGCCTCAGGACCTGCCCCAGGTTAATTCCTAAGGGTGTTCTCTTTATTGAAATATGATTGGAAAGGAAAAAGTGAAACTCTCACTGTTTGTGGATGACATAATCTATATATAGAAAACCCTAGAGAATCCACCAGAAAGCTATCAGTAATAATCAACAACCACAGCAAAGTTGCAGGGCACAAAATCGACTTAACGAAAATCAGTTGCATTTCTATACTCTAATAACGAAATAGCAGAAAGAGAAGTCAAGAATACAATCCCATTTACAATTGCAACAAAAGAATAAAATAGCTGGGAATAAATTTAATCAAGGAGGTGAAAGATCTATACACTGAAATCTACAAGACATTATTGAAAGAAATCGAAGAAGACACAAATGGAAAGATATCCCATGCTCATGGATTAGAAGAATAAACATACTTAAAATGTCCATATTACCTAAAGCAATCTACAGATTCAATGCAATCCCAATCAGAATCCCAATAACATTCTTCACAGAACTAGAACAAAGAATCCTAAAATTTATATGGAACAACAAAAGACCCCGAACAGCCAAAGCAATCCTGAGAAAAAAGAACAAAGCTGGAGACATCACAATCCCTGACTTGAAAATATACTACAAAGCTGTAGTAATCAAAACAGCATGGTACTGGCACAAAAAAAGATACACAGATCAATGGAACATAACTGAAAGCCCAGAAATAAAACCACACATCTACAGAGAGCTAATCTTCAAGAAAGGGGCCAAGAACATACAATGCAGAAAGGAAAGTCTCTTCAGTAAATGGTTTTGGGAAAACTGGACAGCCACGTGCAAAAGAATGAAAGTAGACCATTATCTTACACCATACACAAAAATTAACTCAAAGTGGATTAAAGACTTGAATGTAAGACCTGAAATCATAAAACTCCTAGAAGAAAATACAGGTAGTACACTCTTTGACATCAGTCTTAGCAGCATCTTTTCGAATACCATGTCTATCCAGGCAAGGGAAACAAAAGAAAAAATTAACAAATGGGACTACATCAGACTAAACAGCTTCTGCAAGGCAAAGGAAACCATGAATAAAATGAAAAGACAACCCACCAACTGAGAGAAAATATTTGCAAATCATATATCTGACAAGGGGTTAATTTCCAAAATATATAGAGAACTCATACAACTCAATAACAAAAAAACAAACAACCCGACCAAAAAATGGGCAGAGGAAATGAACAGACATTATTCCAAAGAAGATATACAGGTGGCTAACAGGCACATGAAAAGATCTTCATCATCACTAATTATTAGGGAAATGCAAATCAAAACTACAATGAGATATCACCTCACACCTGTCAGAATGGCTATAATTACCAAGACAAAAACCAACAAATGTTGGAGAGGATATGGAGAAAAAGGGAACCCTCATACACAGCTGGTGGGAAAGCAAAGTGGTACAGCCACTATGGAAAACAGTATGGAGATTTCTCAAAAAATTAAAAATAGAAATACCATATGATCCAGCTATCCCACTACTGGGTATTTATCCAAAGAACATGAAATCAACGATTCAACGAGATTTATGCATCCCTATGTTCATTTCAGCATTATTCACAATAGCCAAGACGTGGTAGCAACCCAAGTGCCCATCAGCTGATGAATGGATCAAGACGTGGTGTACACAGACACACACAGACAATGGAATACTACGCAGCTATAAAAAGACAAAACAGTCCCATTTGCAACAACATGCATGGACCTGGAGGGTATTATGTTAAGCAAAACAAGCCAGACAAAGACAGACAAACACCACATAATTTCACTTATATGTGGAAGATAAACACATGGATAAAGAGAACAGATTAGTGGTTACCAGAGGGGAAGGGGGTGGGGGAGTGGGCAAAAGGGGTAAAGGGGCACATATGTATGGTGATGGATAAAAATTAGACTACTGGTGGTAAGCATGATGCAGTCTATACAGAAACTGATATATGATAATGCACACTTGAAATTACACAATGTTATAAACCAATATCATCTCAATAAAATAATTGAAAAAAAAGAAATATGTTAATACAGGGTAATTGTAGCTCACTTTAGTCAAGTAAGCCAAAGAGTCGACATAAACTAACTTCCAAAGGGGAGGGGCCGGTCCCGTGGCATAGTGGTTAAGTGCACCGGCTCCGCTGCTGGCGGCCTGGGTTCAGATCCCGGGCGCGCACCGATGCACCACTTGTCAGACCGTGCTGAGGCGGCATCCCATATGAAGTAGAGAAAGGTGGGCACGGATGGTAGCTCAGGGCCAGTCTTCCTCAGCAAAAAGAGGAGGATTGGCATGGATGTTAGCTCAGGGCTGATCTTCCTCACACACACAAAGAAAAAAAAAAAAAACCAAAGGGGAGAAGAAGGAAAGATGCCTGTTTCCAATGATGACAACAAAGGAAACAGTTTCCACCCAGCACTCCTTCCGTGCAGCCTGGAAACCAAAACAGTTATATTCCTATTTCCAAAAGCCAATAGAACATCACTCGTGTAACTCAATTTAATAATTTTTGTTTTTTCCAAAAAGATAAATGTTGAGAACAGGGAAGTGAATTTAAAATAGTAACAATATGTTCAAAACCAGTGTTTCCCAGGGTGTGGGGAGGGGTCCGTAGTAGAATCTCCAGGGCCCCTGTTTACACGCCTATTGGGGCATGGACTGTGATGCCTTGGAGTCTCTGGGGGCGTGGCCAGGGAGTCTGGATTTTCAGGCAGGCTCCGCTGCTGCTGCACTGTGGGCGTCACCTTGGCGTCTCAGCAAAGACAACTAACTGCATACATCCACCCTGGGGTTCGTTCTGTAGACGCAGCTTCTCAGGTGTGAACAACTTTCCTGCTTGCTTTCGGTCCCTGAGCTTTGCTCAGTCACCGACCTGACATTTGAGCACCCATTTCGTTCCTAGCACTGTGCTGGCACTAGGGGTGCAGGAAAGAAGAGGACAGGCAGGCCCTTGCTCTCATGGCGCTCAGAGTCCAGTCTGTGGCTGTGGGGGTGCTGGCGTGGCCCAGTGCAGAGAGTAAACCGGTGATGGGTGCTATGGAAGAAAATGAAACAGAACTGTGGTGGTGAGCCGGTGGAAGGCTGAGGCCAACAGAAGGGAACAGGCCAAGCAAGTGCAGAGTTCCTGAGGCAGGAACAGCTTCCAGAGATGGGGCTGTCGGGAGCAAGAGTGAGTGTAGTGGGCACGAGAGAGAAGCAGGCAGGGGCTGGAGAAAAGGCGTGGAGTTCCTATTTAAAGTGCGAGGGAAGCCACTGGGGACTTAACACAGGGTGACAAGATCTGGTTTCTGCTGGCTGCTGTGTGGAGAACAGACTTTTTTGAGGGGAAGGGGCATGAGTAGAAAGAGGCCACAGCATCCATCCAAATGCGAGATGCTAGTGGTGTGGACTGGGGTGAATAGGGTAGAGACAGTTGAGAGTGAGCAGGTCCAGGACCTGCTGATGGATGGATGTGCTGAGGGGGTGAGAAAAACAGGACCCAAGGATGACCCTGACTCCTAGGTTGGGGACTTGAGCAACTGTGTGGATGTGGCACAATTTACCAAGGTGGGAAGACAGAGGAGGAATGTTTAGGGGTAAAATCAAGCTTTTCTTATACTGAGCTTCAGGTGCCCATCAGACAGCCACCGGGAGACATCAGGTGGGCAGGTGGACGTGCGTCTGGGGCTCCAAAGGGAAGGTGAAGCCACAAACTTGGGAGACATCAGTGAGGATGGTATTTAAAGCCACGGGCTAGGTAAGATCTCCTGGGGCTTGAGTGCTGACAATCAATAGAAGACAGTGCTCTGGGTCACCGCTACATTTAGAGTTAGAGATGCAAGCAAGGGAAAGGCAGATAGAAAGGCAGGACTGTCAGGAATGCTGAGTTTGAAAACTACAGAATGCCACCACCAGGCTGGATTTGGCAAAACTAGGATTTCAGTGGAGTGATAGGGATGAAAATTTGGGGAGGGAGAACAAGGCGGTGGCAGCAAACAGAGGAGTCGAATGAGAAGGGGAGGAGGTAAATGGGGTGGTAGTTGCAGGAGAATATGGAGACAGGGGCTTCTGTTGTTTCCCGGTGGGAGGCACCAGAGCTGCTTGCTGATGGGAGGGGCCTGCAGATGCAGGACACTGGGTGGGGGCACCCTGCACTGGACCAGGAGGGAAAGCAGGGCACACTGGCCGCAATGCCCTGAGAGCCTGTGCTTTCCCCACGCTTCAGCAAACAGTTACCTGCTGGGGTGGGGTGGGGTCTGAGGAGAGGACAGGTCCAAGTGCCTTTAGAAAGGTGGTGGAGTGCTGGGCCCTATGTGACAGCTGTGGTCCTCATTCCAAGTGGGACTGACCATTCCAGCCGCCTGAGTCTCCAGGTGACATCAAGTGCTGCTGGCACCAGGGAATACAGCAGTGAAGCCCAGTTCCTTGCTTCAGGAAACCCTTGTCCCTGTGATTCTGGGCTTGCTCCCTCTCCAAACACACACAGTTGATTCTCATTAGTCACAGTAGTTAGATAGTTACATGAAGACTATGAAGTCCCCGAGAATGCAGAATTAGTGAATATCAAACCACTGCCCCTCGGGGGAATACAGCGTCAGGTTCCTGTGAGCCTCTGGTACACAACATCAACTCATCAATACATAACGCTGCTTTATGTGTGGGTCATTTAGAGACATTTTAGCTAATATATGTTATTGATTCAGTAACACTGAATTCACAGCCAACACTATAGCTCAGCCTGAATGAAGCTTATCTAAGGCACATCCTAGCCTTCCTGCGCTCAGGAACACTAAGTAGCACTTCAGCACGATGCTTGGGAGCCATTTTAAACAGCAAAATCACCAAAAAAAAGCAAGATAATGCAAAAAACCTGCCATTAAATAGACAAGTTTGAACTGAATCAAGAAGGCAAAGTACAGCCTTGTTTGACCACAGCCGGGAAATGGAGCGTCAGGAAACTCAGATTTTTCACTACTCTGTGCACATCTGCATATGACCACTACATGTAAAATTATTACATATTATGATATACCATTCTATCATTATATGCGCACACACACATATACACCCCAGGTGGCTTAAGGAGGGGCCTTCAGCCTCCAGCCCTGGCACCAAGAGTAGCACCTGAACGCCCCTCCCCCCAGGTTTGGAAAGCAGCACCTAGGGCCCCCTCCCCATCAGGTGTGGGCTCTGCACAGCTGCTCCCGCAGAGTAGCACAGCGCTATGGCACAGGGGCTAGGATGATGGATTCTGGAGTCACACTGCCTGAGCTCAAAGACACCTCTATCACTTTCTTGCTGGGTGACCTGGGCAAGTTTCCAAACCTCTCTGTGTTCATAAATCTTGTTTGGTAAATCCCTATGGGACATCTAATTGAAGCGCAAAGAGTATTCTAATACCAAGACCTAGGCCTGGCACAGGGCTGTCACATGAAGTGCTCATAAACATTTGGTGAGTGACTGAGTGGGCCTAACTTGTCTGGTGTTTCAGAATTCTTACACATGAGGTTTCCTGAGACAGCCAAGTTATGTGCACCTTTGCTCTTCAGTTCCAGATTCCTCCCCACCCATGAGCCAATCAACAAGGGCATTACTTAACGCTTCTCCCCTAATCATGGTGTTTTTGAGGGGGGGCCAAGTGGGAGCGTACCACCCATCCCTTCTCACTGATGACAGCTAATTTTTCCCCTTTCCCAAATGAACACTACCCTGAAGACAACAGACCTAGAGTCACTCAACAGAAGGTACTGATGACCCCTTAAAAATGGCCAGAAATGGCTACAGGACACCTCCTACCTAAACATCATTTTCTGAGATCGAGTAAAGGTGTGAAACACACATCCGGCCTGGCATCCTATTTGCTTAGCCATTCGCCCACTGCCCAACACACATCTGCTGTGGTGTCTCAATCAGCTCTGGCCAGATGCGCTGGGCAGAGGCAGGAAGTGACTCGCCCAGAGTCCCCATCTCAGCAGAGGCAGGGTCAGGACTCAAACCCACGTCTCCAGGCTCCACGCTCAGTACCCTGCACAGCCTCCAGTGCAGGACAACGCCCACGAGATCCAGGCTGCAGCCTCAGAGCAAGAGTCGGGACACACATTTTGGAGGCAGATAAGGTAACCAACAGTTCAGACAGGAGAACAAAACACAAAACACAGAATGAACCAGCCAGTCCCTGACAAAAGAGAAACAGGGGTTTCAAAACGTACGCCCAGGGTGTGTGCTAATTTATTAGGGCTGACTTTCCATTTCAGCTTCCTGGCAAAGAAGCTGTCACTTGAACTGCTGAAGGGACAGCAGTGACCCCAGATGTCACATGGCTGAGGGCGGGGCCAGGGAAATCAATACAGCAAAAGTGAAAAGACACGTAAAATGCTTCTTAGTTTCCCTTCACTCAAAACCACTGTCCTTAATCCCATCAAATTCCATAAAAGGCATAAAATATATTTAGAAACTTGGAGATAAAACAATCCAAAAAGTGAGCAAAGGCTCTAATTAGAAACCATCTCTGTTGCTCCTGTTGGCCTGAAAGGCTGCCCTTGGTCACCTCCCATTTTCTGTTTAGATCCCCTCTGACCTCAGGATGAAAATGCAGCTTTTGGCCAGTCCATCCCCGTCCTTCCCGCTCAGCCAGGATTCCACATACCCTCTACTCTGGTTCAGCCCAGCCTGGATTTTCTAGTCTCCAATTGTTTTTCCAAAAGCTCTTTTCACACATCAAGTTTCCCTTCTTATGGCCCAGCCCCCTGGTTAAGTCCCATATCTCCCTCTGCACATGCCGGGGGCTTCCCAACACACACCTGTGTACTGGGAGCTGCTAGGCAGGAGCACGTATTCTGAGGTGCAGTCTGCACTCTCAGCTGAAGGACATGGAGACCAGGCGCCCTGCAATGTGAGTTAGCCCCAGAGCGAAAGCCATTTCCTTCAACGAGTCTGGGATCAGGTCCATGTACCAGCAAATCTCGAGGCCCCATCTCTATCATGTCACTTCACAGCCTTCTTCTGTAATCGACGTCACACAGGTCTGAACCAAACCTAAACTTTTTCTGTTCTTTACTAAATAAACATGCCCTTCACAGAAACCAGCCCAAAACTTATCACTGTCCAAATACAAGCACAGGCACCAGGGGCAGAAGGCTACATTTTCCCCTTTTGGCGGGAACGTGAATGAACTCTGCTTTGCAGTGCCCTTGAGCGTCCAGGAGACTGTCGTCTCTCTCCCGTAGGCTCCGAGTCCTGCCGCCAGGGGGGCTGTGAGCAGTCAGGATGGGTTCTCACTTGCTTCTATCCAGCGAGGGCTTGGGAGGGAAACTGAGTTGAAACAGCCCCCCTTCCCCTTGGGTCGTTTGGAGGGTTTTCTGAGGTCCTGGTCACAGAGTGGGCCAGGGTCCAGAGAGCCGCTGTGGCAAACATCGTCATCGCCCCATGATGAAGCTGGGCTCGTCATCCTCCTCCTCTGCTCCTGACGCCTCCTCAGAGCTACTGGACGGCTGCTCCTGGGACTGACTGGATCCTGTAATCACATGACATTCAGATCAGAGACACACAAATTCACTCAGAGAATCCAGGGGCACTTTAAAAAAGGAGGAGAGGAAAAACTAGGAACTAGCTGTTCCTGGACAGGACACCGAGGAGCCAGAGGTCCTCACGTCCGTCAGTTCCCAACGCCACTCCCTGGGTATAAAGGGTTGGTCACAAAACTGACCTACCACTGCTGCTGGGTAGATCTCATCCTTATAAAAAGGTCCAGTTGCACACACAAGAATCCCATAAATCGGGCCTCACTGCTTTTTATATGGCCCCTATCAACACCACTGTCTGTCACCTCGGCAGGGTGACGTCCCCAGCCAGCCCTTTAACATTTAACGCTACGCTGACAACACTCCTGCTGACGCCTCAAGCTCTCACCACAGTCTGCAAAAGGATTTTCAAAAACTATGTAGCAGAGGGCTCTGCCCACCACAAATATGCCAGCTTGCCAGCTCTTCCCACAGACCCAGAAATCCTCTCTCTCGACACTCCACGTGCAGCTCTGAATTCCAGTGTTTTCCCTGGCCTGACTGCCAGTACCCACAGTGCAGCTGAGCTGGCCAAAAGCAAAGCATGCAGACAACTTGTTCCCAGCTCCTCCTCCTCTTCCCTGCTTCTAGAGAGCAGGGCAGTGGGCGAGAACTGGAATGGGGCAGAGGCAGAGCCCAGAGAAGCAGCACCGGTCCTCCAGCTCATGGTCCACTCTTGCGGCCACTAGCAAGCACAGTGCGCTCACCTGGGCCCACCAATGGGCCTCCTCCCTGCAGACGTGCAGGAACTCACTCCAGCACCCCCAGAGCCCACAGGTAGCCAGAGCTTCGCTACCGCTGTCATCACAAAGTCGGACAAAGATCTTCAACACGGGAGGCCTTGGGGTGCCCAAGGCACAGCACAATCTGAAATTCACCCTCACACCCTAGGATGGGACACTAGAGACCACTCATGGCCATGGGCTGAAACCACTGCTAAGATTGAATTTAATTAATTTAGGGTATTCCTCCTCCTCCAAAAAGAACAAGAAGTTTCAAAAGTACAAATGGTGAGCATGTTTTAATAGCTACTATTCGTTGAAGACCTACTCTGTGCCAGGCAGTGGGTAAGCCTTAACATACACTTTGTGTTTAATTCTAACAATAGCCTGTGAGGTAATCCACTCTACAGGTGAGGAATAAAGCTCGGAGAGGTTAAATAATTTGTTACTCAAGGTCTCATAATCAGTAAAACAAGGACCCAGGATTCAAATCTGGACTATCTGACTCTCTAGGCCTCTGCCTACCTTGCCTGCAAAAATGCCTAAGGAAACTGAGGCAAAACAAAAACAAGATGGAGGCAGGAGTGAGATGAGCATACTGAATGGACAGACACACGATGGAATATGATTCAGCCTTGAAAAGAAAGGACATTCTGACATATGCTACAACAGGGAAGCACCCCTGACAGTGTGCTAAGTGCAACAGGCCAGCCACAGAAAGACAAATACTCTATGATGCCTCTTATATGAGGTACTTAGAGCAGTACAATTCATTGAGACAGAGTAGAATGGAGGTTGTCAGGGGCTGGGGGAGGGGGGGATGGGGAGTAGAGTTTAATAGGTACAGTTTCCATTTTATAAGATGAAAAGAGTTATCAGGATGGATGATGGTGATGGCTGCACAACAATGTCAACGTATTTAACACCACTGAACTGTTACACTTAAAAACACTTAAGAGGGTAAATTTTATGTTATCTGTATTTTACCACAAAAAAAAAAAAAAAAAAAAAAAAAAAGCATGCTATGGAGAGATTGAGTGAAAAACTGGAGATGGGTCAAAAACCTAGTTCTGAGCTCCCTGGACTCCTGTGGCAGTGTTCCCCCAGCTCTCTCATGTCATGACATGTATGGAAAAGGACATTCTATGGCACATGGGCAACTGGTCCAAGGCCTTGGGCACTCAGTCTCCACCCTGAAGGCCGAGGGAATCAAGGCTCTGCCGCTTGTAGCCCATTCCCCATATACCAGCTTGGGAGCTCTGCTCTAGAACTTGGTCTCCAAGGCTGAAACTGCTCATTACTTCTGTTTTGGTCGGTAACTTAGTCATACTCTGTCTGCCTCAAGCCTCTCTAAGAACCACCAGCCGCACTCACATAGGTCTGAACGCAGCAGGACGAGAGCATACGATTTGATCTTTAATTCTGATCTTAAAGAAACAGTAGAACACTGATTAACCTGGATGTTTGTGGCAAGGTGTGTTTTAGATGCCTGAGGTGCTGATTAACAGAGAAGGGCTCAAAGCATTCCTTGTGACTGAGAAGGCCCTGGAAATGTAGAACCTCACTTAGGGCCGGCCCCGTGGCTTAGCGGTTAAGTGCGCGTGCTCCGCTGCTGGCGGCCCGGGTTCGGATCCTGGGTGCGCACCGACGCACCGCTTCTCCGGCCATGCTGAGGCCATGTCCCACATACAGCAACTAGAAGGATGTGCAGCTATGACATACAACTATCTACTGGGGCTTTGGGGGAAATAAATAAATAAATAAATAAAATTAGAACCTCACTTAATAGGAAACCCAGTTGATTCCTGTGGGTGGGAAGCATGTTGTTGGGGTCTAGCACGTTGTCGGGGCCTAGAAGTACCACTCTCGAAGAGGAGAAACCTAGGAATCTGGTGCACATTCAAGTCATTTGGTAATTCAACAAAATTATTTCACCCATTCATTCTTTCAACATAATAAATAAATAATAAAGTGCTTATTACTATTATGCTTAATGTTGAGGACACAGCAGTAAAAAGATGCTGTCACACAAATTAAAACAACAATGAGATACCACTACACACCTATTAGAATGACCAAAATCTGGAAGACTGACAAAATGAAATGCTGAGAAGGATGTGGAGCAAGAGGAACTCTCATTCATTGCTGCTGGGAATGCAAAATGGTGCAGCCACTTTGGAAGACGGTTTGGCGGTTTCTTACAAAGCTGAACATATTCTCATCATATGATCCAGCAATCATTCTCCTAGGTATATACTCAACACATTTGAAAGTTTATATCCACACAAAAACCGTCACATAAATGTTTCTAGCAGCTTTATTCATAATCACCAAAAACTGGACGCAACCAAGACATCCTTCAATAGGTGAAGGGATAATCAACTATGGTACATCCACATGATGACATACTATTCCACGATGAAGAGGAGTGAGATATAAAGCCACGCAAAGACATGGAGGAACTTTAAATGCATGTTGCTAAGTGAAAGAAGCCAGTCTGAAAGGCTACATATTGTATGATTCCAATTATACGCCATTCTGGGAAAGGGAAAACTACAGAGATGGTAAACAGAGCAGTGGTCGCCAGGGGGTTGGGGTGGGGAGAAGGCTGAATAGGTGAAGCACAGGGGACTTTTTTTTAAGGCAGTGAAACTATTCTGTATAATATTATAATGATGGATACATGATACTATGCATTTGTCAAAACTCATAGAACTTTACAACACAAAGAATAAATCTTAATGTATGCAAATTTTAAAAACCATTTAGGATGGTAAGAATCCCAGGATGGAATGCAAAAGGTGACACATGAATCTAACTGTATTACAAATGGATGAAACGACCTCTGTGAAGGGGGTGGGGAAAGGTGCCGACCTAAGTAATTTTGGAAATAGTGGAGTCTATAAAACTGATGGCAAAAGGAACTGTACATAGCACTGTACTCTAGCTGATAAAGTTGTTTCCCATAGGCAACAGCTTAACAATTCTGAATCCACTATCCATGTACCCTGGAACTGAACAATTAAATAAATGGATGGTGGATGGTGGGAGCCAGGTTACTCACTATTTTAGCGGCAGGTTACAAACAGTTGAGAAGGCTAGAATGATCCATTTGGCAGTAGATTAGAGTTGGAGACATCAGTATAAACTCATATTTAGCTTAACATAGACAGACACAGATGGTTACATACAGAAGTATCTGTAGATATGCGTATATACACTGGTTAGTACACACGTATATATTTTCTTGCTTTATCAGTTAAGAGGGCCTAAAAACAACACCCCAGTAGCAAAGAGCATACCCCAGTAGCAAAGAGCATACCTAGCTCCCAGATCTTGATTTCTCCAATAAATACCATTCTCCAGTAAAAGGAACCAGGCCTCCTCGGAGAAATGGCTGATTCTAGGTCTAGGGCAGGAAATATACAAGGTAAGTCCGGAACAATCTTGTAGTGCCAGAAAGTAAGGGAGAGCAAAAAAAAGGAAAAAACAAAACACAACGAAAATAAACCCAAAACCTCATAATGATGAGAGAATATGTAAAAGGGACACAGGTGCCACATGAAAGAGCTCCAAACGGCCAAAGCTGGAACAATTTAATGAACAAAAGAAAGCAGTACTGGATTAAAGCCTAGAGTATACAATAAATATCCACGAGTCCATACTGACACAAACAAATACACGGGGGAGGAGAGACAAATCTCCCCTGCAGAAGAATTTCAAATAATTCATGTAGCCACTTCGCTCTCACGGAAGGGTGCATAACTATACCCGACTCTCTAAGTGTGGGCTGCACAGAGTGAGGACAGAGTGGGAAGGGGGAAAAAGGAGTAACTTTACTGCAGAGAATCCTGACAAGCACAGCCTCAGCCAGGTGATCAAGGTCAACATCAATAGTAACAAATCATCCCATTAACAAAATGAGGAATAAAAATCACATGATCATCTCAATAGACACAGAGAAAGCATTTGACAAGATCCAACATCCATTTATGATAAAAACTGTCAATAAAATGGGTATAGAAGGAAAGTACCTCAACATAATAAAGGCCATATATGACAAACCCACAGCCAACATCATACTTAACGGTGAAAAACTAAATGCCATCCCTCTGAGAAGAGGAACAAGACAAGGGTGCCTACTCTCACCACTCCTATTCAACGTAGTACTGGAGGTTTTGGCCAGAGCAATTAGGCAAGAAAAAGAAATAAAAGGAATTCGAACTGGAAAGGAAGAAACGAAACTCTTGCTGTTTGCAGATGACATGATTCTATATATAGAAAACCCTAAAGAAACATTCAGAAAACTATTAGAAATAATCAACAACTACAGCAAAGTTGCAGGGTACAAAATCAGCTTACAAAAATCAGTTGCATTTCTATACACTAATAACGAACTAGCAGAAAGAGAATTCAAGAATACAATCCCCAGGCTGGCCTGGTGGCGTAGTGGTTAAGTTTGCGTGCCCCACTTCGGTGGCCCAGGGTTCACGGGTTCGGATCCTGGGCACGGACCTACATACCACTCATAAAGCCACGGTGTGGCAGTGTCCCACATACAAAATAGAGGAAGATTTGTGCAGACGTTAGCTCAGAGGCAATCTTCCTCAAGCAAAAAGAGGAAGACTGGCAACAGATATTAGCTCAGGGCCAATCTTCCTCACCAAAAAAAAAAAATCCTGTTCACAATCACAACAAAAAGAATAAAATATCTAGGAATAAATTTAACCAAAGAGGTAAAAGACCTATACACTGAAAACTATAAGACATTATTGAAAGAAATCAAAGAAAATATAAAGAAATGGAAAGATATTCCATGCTCATGGATTGGAAGAATAAACATAGTTCAAATGTTCATA